GGGAGTCAGGAAAAGGGTCGGAGACGTCCCGAACCTCAGGAGGCGGATCCGACAAAGCGCGAGCAGCGGCCAGGGCCTCTTCGGGCCTACCGATGGCGGATAACCTGACCGAACACTTACAAATATTGGCATGTAGCCATTTCAAGGCGTGGAGGGGGGGTATTTCACACAGCCCAGGTCCTTGCCCAAGAGCAACCTCCAGTGGGTGACGGGCCCCTTGCTCCGAGAACCCCAGACAGGCAACTCCACTCCAAAGACTCTAGGCAGCTCCTTCTCGCATAGGTTGGCCCACGCGCCATGCGCTTCGCCGAGAAGAATTGAAACCAATTGAGGGCCGTCTCCCCTCAGAGCAAGGAACATACACCCCTCCACCTTGTCTTGAACTCGGCCAAACTCACGGGGTTCAGGTAGTGGGCCGAAAGGTGCAATGGTGGGGAGCTCCGGCGGGCGCCGAAACGTCATGTAAGACATCTGCGCCAAGCCAGCGTACAACTCCTAAATGACAGGCGTGTGAGGTACGAACCCATGATTCTGAACCTGCACCACTTGTTTACGGCAGGTTCCTGCGGCGTTGGCACGCCGGGGACGCCGGCGAAGGCGTTCAAGGTTGAATTCTGCGACGCGGAAGCACCGATGGACACGGTGCCCCCAGCAGACCCGACGGAATTGAATGTTCAACGATGGGGCCGCGATCGATTCAAGGTTGAACAATCGACGCGGTGCCAAAAACTTTTGCGCGCGCCGACGCCGCACGAACCTACCGTCCGTAGCCCCCTTGGCCACTCCAGCGGAACAGACGAAGTAATCGTACTCCCGAGGGGCGCCCACGTGGCACGTGGGGGCCCCTGGTGGTGAGCAACTGGCCGACCAGCTTGGTCACGAACAGCGAGGGCTCGAAGGTGGCGGGTTCCAGGTTCCAGTCTCCTCCACAGATGAGAGGGCCTCCCACGCGTAGCCCCAAGAGCCCCCACGGCCGACGTAATATCCAAGTTCCCAGCTGAGAGACCTTCCGAATCCCAGATATACACCGAACAGAACTGGCAGACGTCGCCCTGGGGGGCATGAGTGGGGCAAGACGTCGCGCGATGTGGGAACACAGTATGTCCTCCCTCTGGGGCGTGCAGCCCCAGAGCTGGGCGACGCAGAATCGAAACACCAGCCGAGGGGCCTCCACCTGGGCCCGTGGAGGCCGGGGCCCAGGAGGAGGAGGAGGAGGAGGAGGAGGAGGAGGAGGAGGAGGAGGAGGAGGAGGAGGAGGAGGAGGAGGAGGAGGAGAGGGATTTCCACCCCAAGGAAAGCAAGCCTGATTGGCACGGGAACTAGTTTCTTCAGTCACCAGCGTATGCTCCTGGACGAGCACAATCGGTGTAGTGACAAATGGTAACCAATCCTTCACTGACTTCCAGCTGTTGCCATTCACCGTGGTGACAGACAGGTGACAGGCAGAGACAGGAGGAGGTGCAGGAGGAGAGAGAGGGCCTCCCACAAAGGCCCTCTGGTCAAGCCTACCTGGATTGCTGAAGAAGTTGACAAAGCCCCCCCCCCCTCCCCCCGTCAGGCAGAGCCCACGGGGGGGGGGGGCCCATTCTGATCACGGTCACTGTGCTCACCAGCAAGTGTCTCGGCGGCCCATCTGTCGACCATAGCGGTGATGCGGCCAACCTCCTGGCGCACACGCTGGACCGCGGGCTGCGAGAGAACTTGCGAAATCCCTGCTGGGGCCTGGGCGCCGCCAGCGTCGTTGGCGTCCCCGTCGGGTGGGGTCGCCGCTGCCGAGCCCACGGGCGTGCCTGAGGCTGGCCCTGATGGCCCACTTGTCGGAGTAGCTTCGCCATCGTTGCCTCTCCGACGCGTAGACTGGAGCCTCGCCAAGTAGGCCGCATGCTCTGCACGAACAGCCCCAGCCTTCTCCATGGCGGACTCAACAAGCTTCTTGGCCATCTCGGAGATCGATTCCTTGAACTGTTGACGGCGGCGGTTGGCTTCTTCCAAATCCTGTGGATCAAGCCCCTCTCCGACAAGATCCTCACTGAACCAACCTCCGTCGACAATGGTGATCTTGTTGACCTTACCCTCCAACAACTCTCGCAGTCATAGAGTAGGTCCTGCATTGTCCTCTGCGGGCTTAGGCGGCGCGGCCTCCACCACGAGAGAATGCAATCGCTGAACCAACTCCGTGTGCTGCTGCTGCATGGCCTTATGCTGACGGCTCAGGTCTGCGAGGAGCTCCTCCTGCCGACCCAGGCTCTCCTTCCACTTGGCGTACTTGTTGAGCTCCACCTCTATGCGCTTGTCGAGCTTGTCCATCTGTCAGTGCAAGTCATTGACCTGTTCCTGAAGGGGCTTGGGCGCGACCTTCGGGACCGGGGCGACCATGGCATCGAGCTTGGCCTGGTAACGCTCGACCGTCTCGTTGTCGCCCTCCTTCTTGGCGACGGCGATGACCAACTGCAAGTCCTTCGAGCCCAAAGGGCTCTCAGTGCAATGTGCCACTCCACCTCCGCCATGTCCTGGGGGCTGGATCCCTGGCTGCAGTGACTGGCGCTGCCGCCGACCAGGAGGAGCCACAGGACCAGGAGAGAGAGGACTGTCGTGCTGATGACTCCATACCCCGCGCGGCGGCGGCTGGCGCATGGGAGACGGGAGAGAACGCGTCGAGCCACAGTGCTTGCAGACGCAGACCGTGTTGCTGTTCTTCCCGCAGCCGCACGATACACGCTTCCACTTGCCTTGAGGCCCAGCGTCCAGTCCCTGCTGCTGATGCTGAGAAAACAACGGAAATCGCCACGGACAGGAAGCTGTCGAGGACGGCTGCGGCGATGGGCCACACCAGGACTTATAGCCCCCGCCATGGCGCATCGCTGAAACTGGGAAAGAGGAGCAGGGCGTAGTCAATCTGACCCGCAGACACCCTGCCGTTCTGAATCGAGTGCCTGCAAAACCCCTTGGGCGCAGAACGGCTGGAGGAAGAGCAGGAGGAGGAAGAAGAGGAAGAAGAGCAGTGGTCCAATCAGACGTAGGCCGAAAGTTACCAGGGTTGTTCATACTCTGGTTTCTGTCACCCCCCGTCAGTTCCTCATCCACATCCTCCCTTCCGTTTTCCTCATCCTCCTCCTCCTTCTCCTCCTCCTCCTACTCCTCCCCGTCCCCATCCACCTCCTCCGATCATTTGTTTCATTGATTTAATTTGCGCTGCTAGGATTTGACAGGCTGAATTAACTTTCGGCCATACCTGCGAACCTCACTGCACCCATCGGTCCTGAGCATCTGAGAGGCCCCACTTCTTGCTGGATCGCCGGAACAACGACAACATGATGTTCAATGCGTTTGCACGGTCTCTGAAAGTTTGGAACTCTGGCAAATGAACCCGAAATTTCTGCAGCAATACATCGACGCAAACGACAAAGAAATCGTTTGTTTCGCCACCGTGCAAGGATATACCGTCGGATTTCGAACCCAGCATGCCGACTGTCAGGTCCTGAATCCTGTTTCTTTGTCTACCTGCTCTGGTCCCCTTTCCATACCACTCCATGGTACCAGCCTTGATCGACTGCACGGTGCCATGCGCAATGTCAGGCTCGGTGGTCCCAGGCATATTGAAACCGTTCACCTCTATGCTGGAATGTAGAGGCCAACCGATGTAGAATTGAATATCCCGAGCGAGAAACAATGGAGCCAATCTTCAACTAAATTTGCTGGGTTCGTATACAACTCATCGTATATCAATGGATTGCGATGTCTGGCGTGACGCTCGTTACTCCGCCTCCAAAAACGGAAGGCGTCAGCAGCGAGGCGCATTCGGCAATGTGACACGGACGCCGGCGTGCACTCCAGCCGCGCGGCATGGCAAGAGTTGTTGAACGCGTGGCCCATGCCTACCAAGATTTTGAAATTTTCCCGCAATCCCGGCAAGCAGCCTGGTGCGAAGAAGGCGATGCACGATGCGTTGACCTCTGGCTGGTTTCGTGGGTATGACTGGGTAATACGCACGAACCCAGACGTGATCCTCTATGATGACAGTCTTTGCGTTGTCTCTCATGGAGCGTTCGAATATTTGCGCAGTGGTCATGAAGTGCGAGAACCAATGCGGATTTCTTCGCGGTTCGGCCGGACCGCCTGCCAGCAGACGCATTTTCAGACTGGAACAGAGCAATCCCTAACGCCGAAAGGCAGGCGAACCGGGCGTTCCAGCAGATGTATGAAGAGGGCGCTTACGCTTTCCTGAATCCCAAAGGCCACCAAAATAATTGCCACGTGCAGGACGGAGGCGTGTACCACGCCCTCGCGGATCCGACGTGCGAATCGGTGCTGGACCGACAAGGATGGCATCAGTCTTTTGAGGGTGGCATCAAGGACTACCAACACAGGGCCGTACTTGCACCAAATCCTTGGCAAGAGGCTTGGTGGCCTGGCTCTGAGGATGGCGGACGCCCCTTTTTTCCCTGAATCTAGCAGTCACAGCTCATACAATCTAGCAGTCGCAGCTCATTATGTATATGATGTCTTGTACGTGCGCAGTCGCGTCGAGCACTTCTACTTCCCCAAAAACCAATTAACAACTGCCTCATACTGCTCTCATGTCTCGCATGCCTCATAATTGTGCAATATACCCTGTGAAGTTTTAACCGTTCCGCCGCTGTTGTGCGATTCGTCAAGATGAGCTGTAGGCCAGCAAACGTCTCGCTGAAGGCTTGGGGAGCTCCTGCGTTTGGCAGCTAGTGCTCTGTAGTTATAACTAGCGACCTGCGCGGGCGTGGTTCTCCAGTCCTGTGAAAAAAGTCTTGACGGCGCTCAGCTGCCTGCGTCGCTCGCGATCTAAAGTTTCTCCACCAGCCCATCCAGAAACGATGCCCAGAGGGGGCGTAGGTAAGCAGATCGTGAAGTAATGAGGTCGACGATTATGAAGTTAGGGTCCTCAGGGAGGCTCACAGGCGCAATTGTGTTTCATAGCCTCGCAGATTGGCACGACAGTACTTCACTCGTGTCGTTCTACAGCCCGTAGCCAATTTGGCTTTAGGCAGTTCGGCCGAGACGTCTTGCTCCAAGACCCCGCCTATGTCGCATTCCCTGCGCCGCACCACGCACGCTGCCAGCGAAGACGACGAACTCGAGGCGTACAGCCGGCTTTTCGGAACTCAGGGCACCTTCAGATCCAGGGCTGGGCCGAAGAGGCCTCCCAGGCACCCAAAGGCCGCCAGGGCCGTGGCCGAGGCCCTGGAGCAGGGGAATCTGAGGCTCGTGCTCAGCCGCACGGAGTCGCTGCTGGAGGCGCACGCGGGGGACGCGCTGCTGCTGGCCCTCAGGGCCGTGGCGCTCGAGCGGGCGGGGAGGCGGCAGGAGGCGCTGGCTGCCTGCCAGCTGGCCTGCGCCGCCGAGCCGACGGAGCTGGAGGTGCTCGGCCACCTGCGGACAGTGTACCATCGAAGCGGCCTGTACCCGGAGGTGTCGCGCCTCTACGAGGTCGCGGCGGCTGCGGACGAGGGATGCGAAGGTCAGAGGAGGGCGAGTTGAGACAACGGTTGTTGGCTTTCGGGGGGATCCCTCGTCGCCACGGCTGGACGCAGCTAAGAAATCTGGTGCGTTTGGACCCCAGGAGGGTTCCAGTGACCGATTTCGAGTCGCCCTTCTTCGAGAAGGCGCCTCCCTGGCCTTGTTTCTGGCGCGGGTGAGCGAGGGGGACACGGTGGGGCAGCAGGAGGTGGCCTTGCGGCTGCACTCCTGCTTCGGGCGCCCGCTCTACCTGTACTGGTCCATCGCCGCCGTGCTGCTGCAGCCGCTGGGCATTGGGCAACATGCGTCCCTGGACCTGGCGCAGCGGCTGCTGCAGCGCCTGCCTGAGCTGAGCGGCTGCGACGGCGTGGCGGGCCGCTGGGAGGCCCACAGGCTGCTGCTGCTGCACTTGGCGACGCTGCGGCAGCAAGGCAGGCAGGCTGAGGCGGCAGCCCTGCTGGCCGAGCACAGGGCGGCCGTGCCGCTGCCCCGCGACGAGGACGGCCTCAGGGTGCGGCTACTGTCGGAGGCTGGCGAGCGCGGAGCGCTCGAGGCGGCGAGGTCGCGGTGGCTGCGTCGGGTGGGCCATTGGCGCTCCGCCAGAGAGTACGTGTCCCTCGCGTTTCAGTGGGACGGCCTGCCCCTGTTGGCGCCGGCGCCGCTGGCTGCAGCCGGCGATCCGGCGCCACGCGCGGGCGGTGGCTTTGCGTGGCTGGCGGGCCTGGCCGGGCGCCTTGGGCCGCCTAGCCCGCTCCTGGCCGCTGGGCGCGGCCCTGGCCTGCGTGACGCTCGCTGGCGGCAGTCCGCCTGTGGCGCACCCGCCGGCCCAGAGCCTGAGCCGCCCCGGCAAGGCGGCGGCGTCGCCGACGCGTACTCGCTAGCAGTGCACCTGCAGAGCAACCGCGACGCCGCGGCCACGCGCGTGCCTTTCCTGGCCGAGCTGGAGCTGCGGGCGCTAGCGCTGGCCTGTGGTGAGCGCGAGTGTTGGGAGCGGGCCGCGGCCAGGCGACCGCGTGCCGACCGCGCCGTTTGGCCAGTGCCCGCGCTGTCGGGGGACCTTGACGACCTAGCCGACGCCCTCGCTGGCTACTTCAGCCTCTTCGGCCACTCGGGCGGCTGCTACGCGGACCTGAAGCCGTACCTGTGCCTCTTGGACGCCCCGCGGGCAGAACGCCTGTTGGGGCGGCTGCACCAGCTGGAGCCCTTGGGCCGCTCTGCGACGACGGCGGCCGCCAGGGGCCTGGCAGCAGACGTGGCGGAGAGGGCTGCAGAGGGTGCGGTCGCGGTGATTGGGGCCGCGGCCAGAGACGAGGAGACAGGAGGCGGGGCGGCCGAGCCCGAGGTGTGCAGGAGCGACGCTGGGTGGGTGGCCCTCTGCGAGCACGCGCAGAGGCAGGTGGTGCTGGCGCGCCTCCGGCGTGGCCTGTGCGCTGCGGAGGGCCTGGGCCTGGAGGGCATGGCCAGGGAGGTGGACGGCCTGCTGCGTCTGTGGGGCGAGCTGCGGCCCATGTCGGCGAACCACCCGACTTCCAGCGAGGGCTTCTGTACGAACGGGGTGTGGGAGGAACTGGAGCCCACCGTGGACCCAGACGATCTGCTGCTGGCGGCGGCGGCGACGCTCCTGGACATGGACCGCCTCTTCTGTACGCAGGTGTTCCCTGCGTTCTCTGGCGGCGAGGGCGCTCGATTCCCGGCGGTGGCCGAACGGGTATACTTGCTGGACGCCTTGGTGCTCCTTGAGCTGGGCGCGAAGGCCGTGCCGAACTGCGCGCGGGTCCGGCTGCTGCTGGCGGCGGTGTACGGCGCCGCTGGCGCTGGCGGCATGCTGCGCAAGTGGCACGAGACCATTGGCGCGGGCGCCATCTCGGGGCACGGGGCGCTGCTGCACGCGTCGCTGGAGGGGCTGCTCGCGCTGGGGTCCTGGGAGGAGGTGCCCGAGGCATGCCGGCGCCTGCGCCACCTCCACGCCACCTTCGAGCGCGCGGCGCGGCTGGAGCCGGCGGCGGCCTGCGAGGGCGGGGCGACTCACGGGCTGCTGCGCGGGCGCGAGGTGGCCGCCGCCTTGCGCGGCCTGTACTGCAGCCTGGCCCGCAGGCAGGCCGTGGTGGCCGAGGCGGTCCTCGAGGTCCACGCCGCGGGTGGCCTCGTCGCCGCCGCGGAGCGTCTGGAGCAGCGGGCGGCGGAGCTGCAGGACGTCGCCGGGAAGCCGTCCAGCTCCTGGGACTGCCCACCGGCGCAGCCTAGCGCGGCGCTGCGGCAGCTGTACGCGCTGCCCCGCTGCAGTCCGCTGCAGGCCGTGGCCATGGGCGTCGTGGGCGCTGGGCACCTCGCTCTCGGCGCCCCGCCGCTGGCCCTGGAGCCGCTGCTGGAGCAGTGGGCTGCGGCCTTCCGCCCCGCGGTGACGGACGCCATGGTGACGGCGGCTCCCTCGCTGTGGGCGTGCGCGTGGGCGGGCCAGCGGGCCCCCGGGCCGAAGGCCTCCCGAGAGGCGGGATATACCCGCAGGGCGCAGGGCAGCCTGGCGGCAGGGCCGTGCGGCGTCGAGGGCTACCCCGCGCCGCCCACAAGCCGGCCGAGTGCCCTCGAGGAGGTCGTCGACCCGCGGCGGGTGGACACCGCGAGCACTGTCAGGCTGAGGGCGCTGCTGCTCCTGGCCGTGCGCGCCATGCTCAAGCCGGAGCCCTCTGCGGAGGAGATCTCCCTCCTCCTCAGCGACGCACACTCCGAGACGGCGCCCGAAGAGGCGGCCCGTTCCGCATGGGGCGAGGAAGCGCACTGGCCCCCGCCTTGGCGGCCTTCGCCCACCGCTGCGGACAGCGTGTTCTGGCGGTGCGCGCTCCTCGCCTGCGACGTGGCGCACAGGGCGCTCAGCGTGCCGGCCTTCCGCGGCGGCGCCGCGGAGAGCGACTACACGAGCGCCGCGGCTGGCGCCAGCGCAGTGCGAGACGCCGTCGGCCCTAGCGGAGCGCCCGCCGCTGCTCCTGCCGCGGCCGACTGGGCGAACCTCCGGCGCGGCCTCGCAGCGCTGCGCCTGCTGGTGGAGACCTGCGGCCTGGCGATCCTGGGGCGCACGCGCCCGGCTGCCGAGGAAGCCCCAGGTCGAGCCTGCGGCTCCGCCTTCCGGTTCGGCGGCCATGGCGCGAGGGCGTTGGCATCGTTCTTGGCCGGCCCTGCGCTCGCGCTGCCTGCGGCGCTGCAGGCGGTGGCGCAGCGGCTTCCGCCGCCGAGGCGGAAGGCGAGAGGCCTCGACCTCGACCCTGCGGAAGCGTCGCGCGTGCTGCTCACGGAGCTGGTGGAGGACGCCTTGACCCTGGGACGGGAGCTGCTGGCCGAGTTGGGCGCGGCGTGCAGGGAGGGCTTCGACCACGTGGGGGCCCTTCCCGCAGCGGGGCGCGACCAGCCGGCCCCGCCACAGCTCGCGCTTCCGCGCCTAGAATTCTGGCAGGCTTGTGGGCCTGGCGGGGAAAGGCCCATAGGCATCGATGCCGACAAGCTGCGGCGATCGGTTCTTGCAGGCCTCGTGGCCTCCCACATCAGGCAGCTGTCCAGCCTGGATCGCGCCTTGTGCGGGCAGATGGAGCTGCTGCAGGGCCTGCTCGCCTCCCCGATCAGGCAGTGACACCTCGCGTCGTCTCCTTCCCCGCCGTCCCCTCCCCTTGCTCCTCCCCTCCGTCTCAGTGTCCGTCTCCGTGGCTGCTCACCCCCACGGCTTCTCCCGGACGCCGTTGGCGAGTGGCTTGGCCTTGGTGGGGATCCAAGAAGGGCCTCCACGAGGTGGTGAGTGGCTTGAGCGACGCCCAGTCAGAAAAGTCGTATGCCGCTCCTCTTCAACAGCCGCCGCCACCACCGCCCATGACCATCACCGCAACCCCCCCCGCCGCCACCGCCCTCATCGCTATCCTTACCCCCAATTCCACTCCCGTCTCTTCGTTCACCCCAGAATCTCAACCCCTAGGTCCTTCTCCACCCCCACATCCACCTCGAACTCCCCACCCGCCACCCAGAACCCAATCGCGGACACAGGCACCACTCACCACACCACTGACCACTCGCTGTTCACCCTCTGCCACACAGGACCCGCCTCCCTTTACCCGCCACCTACCAACCACCTCCCACCGACCACGGTGCATTACCCACCACCACCAGCCACCCATGACCGACACCAGCCCCCGCCTGCGACACCAGCAAGACTGCTGCAGCTGCCGCCGCCGATACCACCGAAACCTCGCCCCCACCCGCACACCCAGCCCCGCGCGGATGTGGCTCACCTGGCGCATTGGGCGCAGTTCGCGCGCCTGGGACGCGTAGCTCACTGGGCGCAGACGGCTCACCAGAGGCATGTCCACCTGGCGCATCTGGCGCATGCGGCGAACCTGGCGCAACTGTCGGCGCTTGGCGACGCTTGCTGCTCTAGGCGCACCTTGCTCACCCTGCTGCGCCTAGAGCACGTGGCGCGCCTAACGCACTTGCACGCCTGTCCCACCTGTCACGCCTGTTGCATCCTGCGTGCCTGGCCCACCCAGCGCCCATTTTCGTCGTATGGCGGCCGCTGCCAATAACGAGTCTCGGGTGATGCTGGTGGGTTGACAGGGCTGGTGTGAGTTAGCGAGACGGCTTCTGCTTACCTTCTTGGGAATTGACCTCCCGCCCCCTACTGCTGGACCTCCGGCTCCACATCTGCCCGCAGCTCCGCTTCACCTACACTTTCTCGCCGGCTTTGTCTGCTTTCACTTCCGCCTCCGCGTCCGCCGCCACTCTCATCTCCATCTCCCCACCCTATCGTTTCTCCCGCATGTGGCCCCATGATCTGACTCCTCTTTCTCCTCACTCGCCAGGGACAGCGACGGTCTGGGGGCCCCCAGGGAGGGCGGGCTGGTCTCCAGAGACCGGCCTGAAGCGAATCAAGAGTTCGGGCATCGATTCTTTGGACTGCAAGATGGGCCGCCTCCTCTGCACAGTTATCGTCGTAGTGGTGGCTGTGGTGATGGTGAACGCATGATGTGCGTATGTTCTTATCATAGTTGTGTGTATGTGTACATGCATGCATGCATGTACATATGTGTATGTATGTATGTATGTATGCATGTATGTATGTATGTATGTATGTATGAATGTATATGTGACTGTATGCCTGCCTGCCTGCCTGCCTGCCTGCCTGCCTGCCTGTACGTATGCATGTACGTATGCTGCATGCATGTATGTATGTATGTATGTATGTATGTATGTATGTATGTATGCATGCATGCATGCATGCATGCATGCATGCATGCATGCATGTATGTATGTATGTATGTATGTATGTATGTATGTATGTATGTATGCATGTATGTATGTATGTATGTACGTATATATGCCTGTTTATTCTTAGGTAATATATGTATGTATGGATGTGTGTACGTATGGATGTATGTATGTAGGTGTGTATGTATGTATGTATGCATGTATGCATGTATGTATGTATGTATGTATGTATGTATATATGTGTGTATGTGTATGTGTGTATGTGTGTATGTATGTATGCATTCATGTATGTGTGTATGTGTGTATGTATGCATGCATGCATGCATGCATGCATGCATGCATGTATGTATGTATGCATGTATGTGTGTACGTATGTATATGTGTGTACGTGTACGTATGTCGGTATGCCAGCCTGTCTGTCTGTCTGTCTATATGTATGTCTGTATGTCTATATGTATGTATGTTGTATGGATGCATGTACGTACGTTTGTATGTATGGAATATGTACATGTGTACATGGGTATCTATACATATATATATATATATGTGTGTATCTATATATATATATATATATATATATATATACGTCGGCGGTGCGCCGTGGCACGACCCCCCCCCCCAGCACTACCGGGGGGGTTCGTGCACTCCCGGGGGGTTTCGTGCAGCCCGCACCGGGTGCCGCCAGCGGCTTAGAACACCCCCCCCTTGCCGCTTTACCGGGGGGGTTCGTGCAGGCCGCACTGCGTCTACCTGGGCTCCCCCCCCCCCTGTGGGAGTGGGGGGGTGGGAGTGGGGGGTGGGTTGGGGGGGGGGCAGGGGGGCGGTTGGGAAGGGTGGCTCCCTGTCGAAGTGTGGCGTGTGCTCGCCTTGTGTTCTCTATTCGCGTCTGCTCGCCTTTGTTCCGCCGCAGCCTCTCGTATTGTGGCTCGTGGCCACAATACGAGAGGCTGCGGCGCAACTCCCGAGAGCCGCTGTGGGGGGTCGACGGCACGGCCGCGTAGAGAAGAACAGTGCCGCCGTGTTCTGGCACGGCCCTGGGATGCAATGCCGCCGCCGTGTTCCGGCCCGTCCTGGTAAGATTCGCGCGTCGGGGCTGGGTTTCGCGCGTGCTGGGAGCGCGCCGCTTACGGAGGGGTTGCGTCCTTACCGGGGGGTTTCGTGCAGCCTACCAGAGGAGGTCGTGTTTACCGGGGGGGTTCGTGCAGGCTCGCACCGGGAATGGCGCCAGCTCGAAACCCCCCAGGAGAGATTACCGGGGGGGGGTTCGCTCCGCACCGGGCACCGCCGACATATATATATATATATATATATATATATATATATGCGTGGCACACTCACCATTAAAAGGGAGCCCCAGCTTCAAGCTACCCCCCCTCCCTTGGAAAGGGGGGGGCTTCCGAAGCTACCCCCCTCTCCCCCCTTTTGTGTGTGTGTGTGCATTGTTTAACTGAGGGGCCCTAGCTAAAGATGGGGGGGTGGGCTTGGAAGCCCCCCCTCCCTTTTCGGGGCCCGCGGTCAGCCCTGGCGGCTTCCGAAGCTACCCTCCTCCTTTCCCTTTGGATTTTGTAGTTGGCGGGTCCCTGGCTAAAGGGGGGGGGCTGGGAAGCTACGCTCCTCCCCCCTCTCCTTTTGGGGGTTCGGGGCAAGCCCGGGCTCACCTTTCCAAAGGGGGGGGGTCTTCTGAAGCTACCTTCCCCACCCCTCCTTCTGTTGGCTTTTCCAGCTGGAGGGACCTGGCTAAAGAGGGGGTTCGAAGCTACTTTTCTTCTTCGGTTTTCGCCGCCCCGTTGGTTTGCGGCCTCCTCGGGGCTGCACGCCGCGGCAGGCGGCCCGCGCGCCGCGCCGAGGAACCCCACGAAGCCGTCCCTGTGATGGGCTGCCGCCCTCCAGCCGAGAACCAGTCCCCGCGCCCGCGCGAGCGCGCGCGCCCGCGGCGGGGGCAATGCCCGCCTCCGCGCCCGCACCGCGCGGCGCCCGCGAAGCGGCTGCGCGCGCCGCACTGGCGGCGATGGCGGCAGCCGCGGTGGCGGCGGCGGCGTGGAGGCTGCTGGAGGCCCACCTGCTGCCGTCGTGAAACATCGCGGCGGGCTTTTTGTCCCGCATGTTCGGCTGCCTTCTTAGAAGCGCGCCGCCCTCTAAGGAGGCCACCCCCCTCGCACCACCTCCTTGTCAGAGGCCAGCAACATATGTACACGTACGCGGTTAGCTTCCTTTGGAGTGCGTGGCAACGCGGACGTTCGTACAGGCAAGACCGCGGAGGGCGTACGTGTACATATGTCGTTGCTCGCCCACCTTGTGCGCGCCGTCGAACCTATCTTGAAAGATCAGGATGGCGAGTTGTTCGACGATATCGTCGGCCTCCGGAGGCCCTCGCTGGGCACCTGGCGCGGCGCGGGGAGTGAGCTGATTCTCAAACCCCCCCTTTGCTATCCCCCCCTTTCGCCCGACCCGATCCTCCTCCTCCTCCTCCTCCTCCTCCTCCTCCTCCTCCTCCTCCTCCTCCTCCTCCTCCTCCTCCTCCTCCTCCTCCTCCTCGTTGGGCCCGGAGGTCCGGGCCGTCCAGAAACGGTGCGGGAAGGGGCAACCGGTCCAGGAGAGGGGGTTCAGACCTCCAGGTGTTCAGGTTGCGGGTCAGGCGAAACGGGGGAGTCAAGACTGGGGGGGGGAACGAAATTTGCTGCGTGCATGGTTTCGGCCCCGCCGTCGGGCGCCTTGATACATGGGCGCCTCTCGGCTCTGGGAGGCGCGGGGAGCCACCGGGAAAACCCCGCTGCGCAAGCTGATTCGCTACCCCCCCCCCTTTACTGAGCTCCCTTTGCGTACGACTCGAAAGGGGTCCAGACCTCTGGAGGTCCATTTCGCCAGAAAATTGCGACATTCGAGTTTGGGCCTGTTGCACGCGCAGGGCTGCCAGATCTGGGGCGTGAGCCCCATGCACAATACGAATCAGGGCATGTTTCCCATGATTCTGTGCCTTTGCATGTATCCACGATCTAGCTGAGCTGTTTGATCTAGTCTTGCCCACGCGTCCGTCAGGGATGCAAGGCTACAGACAGACAGAAAGGCCGCCGAGAAGGCCCCCTCAATGTCGGGAGCGTCTCGGGCTGCCTTGGGGCCATCTCTGGCTCTGCCCGGCTCTTTCGCAGGGCGCCTGGCGTGGCTCCGCTTGGCTCCGCAGGCTGGGGCGCAGGCCGCCCGCGCGCGCGGGCCCGCATTGCCCGCGCCTGCCCGCAGGTCAACCCTGGCCCGTGGAGCTGACTGGGGTGTGTGGGGCTCCTGGCGATGGAGACACACAAGAGAAAGACACAAAACACACAGGCCTCGGCCCTCAGCCCTCCAAGATCGCGACCGGGGTGGAAGGCGAACCGGCGTGAGGGGAACGAGCGTGGGGACTCTCAGGGGGGGGGAACATCGACCTGGAGTCGGCGATGCAAAATTGAGAACACAGGTTTCTTCCGCGCCGCGTCGGCACCCCCAGACCCCCGAATGTCAATGTTGATGCCGAGGCACATGACTTCAAGATTTTCGCTGGTGTCCGCCGACCGTGCCGCGCCCGCAACTGAACATCAGAATTGGGGGCGAGGGGGGATCGGCAACACGTGCGTGAAGTGTCGCGGAATGCTGTACGGCACTGGATTTCTGCTTGGCGGGTCGCCGCGGCGGCCCAGGCGTCATGCTGTGCCTCGCGAGCGGATGCCGTGCCGTTCCGATCCGCGGGGCGGGACGCGGGGAAAGATCAGGAGGAAAAGAAACACACAGACACAATTATTCTTCGATCCCCCAGAAAATATGGGAAAATATGGGAAGTGGGCGGGAAGACAGAAACCCAGAAAATATGGGAAAATATGGGGGATGTTTTATTTGTGTGTATTTATTTGTGTGTCCTGGGGCCCCTCCAAAAGGCTCCGGACGCGGACGCTTGGGAACGGGGATGTGCATTGCGCGTCGCGCCGAAGCGTGGCGGTCGTACCCTGATGGCGCACTCGACGTCGAGCGGGAGGTCGGCTCCCGGCAGGAGGGCGAGCTGCAGCGGGGCGCCGGCGGCCGTTGTCACGGAGGCCTCGCGGGAGGCCCAGGGGGTCGCTGCGCCCTGCGGCGGGCAACGTGGCTGGTCTGCCGGGGCCTACCTTGGAGCCGGCTGGGCGTCACTGGGCCTGGCCGCGAGAGGGGCAGATGCACCATCTTGCACGGGTTTCTGTCCCTGGCTGCCTCGGCCGCCTTTTCCAGATGGGCGTCGCAAACAAGCGGGGTCGACTGAGCCGATATTCGCGCGAAGGGTGCCCGGGTAAGGTCGCGCGTAAGCGCCCTCGTCCCGCGCAAGCCACCGCGTGAGGTCGATGTGCTATCTCGCCGCGAGATAGCACATCGAGACTCTCGCGCAAGATGAGTTTCTTTTCGTCGCTCAGATGGGCATTGGATGCGGTGGAGGAGGAGGAGGAGGAGGGAGGAGGAGGAGGAGGAGGAGGAGGAGGGGGAGGAGGAGGAGGAGGAGGGAGGAGGAGGAGGAGGAGGAGGAGGAGGAGGAGGAGGGAGCTCATCTGCCCCCTCTCCGCTCCTCGCCTGGCTCTGCTGGTGCCCCTCCAGAGCGGGCCCCTCCGCCGCCTCCAAAACCCAGCGCTCTGCGGTAGCTTCTCCGCGGCCCCCCCTTGTCGGGGGAGCGTAAGGCCCGGGTCTGCCAGGACTCGGGTGGAGGAGGAGGAGGAGGAGGAGGAGGAGGAGGAGGAGGAGGAGGAGGAGGAGGAGGAGGAGGAGGACCCCCTCCCCCTCCAACTCATGGTGGCGGTGGTGGAAAACAGGCCCACCAACACACCCGCCCCCAGTGGATGGGGTCGGAACTTCGGGGGAGCCAGCAGTCGGCTGTTGACAGAGGTGGCCCTGGTCCGAGGTCTTGCGTCGGGCTCTCCAGTCGGGGGAGCGTAAGACCCGGGTTTGCCAGGACTCGGGCTCGCCAGCGTTTTTTGACGACCGCGCCTCGGATTTTGACGAGGAGGAGTTTCGTGGGGTGTCTGCAGCGGGAGGCCTCGTCAAAATGCAGGCTCGGCCTCGTCATTTTTTTGACGACCTCGTCGGGGATTTCCGAGTCCCCCGTACCCGGGTCTTACGTCTCCCCAACCTTAGAGCGATCCTGGACTGGACACCCAGACCACCTCGTGTCGTGAAGCACAAAGGGCAGCCGAGTTTTCTTTGTCATTTTCGGCGTCCGTGTGCCCCCGCTGGGCCTCGGGACCGTCAACAAACAGCTCAGGATGAGAAGCCGGTCACGGAGAATGTGTCGAGACCTTGGACGTCGACAACCACCGCGACCACGAACACCACGACCACCCGAACGACGACCACCGCGACCACCACGACCACCGCCAGCCCGCCGACCACCACGACCACCGCGACCACGACCACCATGACCATCAGGATGAGAAGCCGGTCACGGAGAATGTGTCAGGGGTCGACGTTGTGAACAAATCATGACGTCAATTTGGAAGGTCTCCCTTCTGCCCCCCCTCCCTGGGAGCTTGTCTCCTGGGCCGAGGAAGCCTAGGAAGGCAGGGTTCGTCGTTGAGCAACGCATGCGCTGATCAGTGTGTGTGTCTTGGCCGTCGGGGGCATCGCTTTGGGGTCCAAGGTCTGGTCGGGGCAATGCGGGGGGCCTTTTGGCTCGGGAGGGGCTCGATGCTCGTCGGATCTTCCCTGAGGCCCCCCAGTCGAAAAGTCCAGCCCAACTCGGAGAGAGAGGAGGCTTCGCTCCTCATTGCAGTAGGAACGTCAAGAAGGAACTCTACCTCACAGCAGGTGCCCCAGAGAACTTCCGCATCCCCCGATGGACCCCTAAACCTGCGGTGACTCTTGCGGAGTTGAGCATTCACCAACAAATCCACGGTAAGTGTTCTTTATATGTTCAGTAGCATGTATCAGTTAATGTGTATGTTGTTTTATCTAAGTTGATTGGTTCGTTCGGCAAGCCATGTCGCAGACATGACCTCGCATGCGAGGGTAGGGCAAACTGACCTCTCGCCCTCGGAGGAAGCTGGCGGAAGTGGCCGCGGAAGTCGGCAGCATCAAGACTAGGGTGGCTCCGCCAACGGAAACTGGCGGAAGGCTTGAAGCCAGCGCCAGTAGAAGTTGATCCCCAGGATATGTCAATGCCTAAGCACCGAGGGTTGTCGGGGTCGGCTATTCGAGGCCCCTCATGGCGTGGCCTGCGGCTTGAGCTCACGTGGCCAGCTCAACCTCCCCGCGGTGACCGAGGGTCTGCGCTGTGCGCAGGCTCCACTGGGGCGGGCAGCACGCTGCTGCCCAGCAGCGGCGGCATGGCCGATGCCCGCAGCAGGGATGAGTATGGTATCCTGACGTCCACCCGTCTGTTTTTCCATCCGCGGCCCCAGAGCTCCCGTTCCTTACCCAGCCGGGGGCACTTTTTCCTCCCGGGTCGATTTCTGATTGTCCGTGGGCCTGAAAACGGACCTCCGAGGCCGACACCGTGGAAGAGCCACGGGCGGACAAGATCTGCTCGTCGCAGAAGCGGCCCGTGCCCGGGCTGATGAATTCACACCGTCGGAGGAGGGAGGCATGCAGAGATAGCGAGCAGGCCGCCCGCCCTCGCTCGGAGGCGCACCGCCGCGCGCGGCGGCGAACGAGGCGCCTGGCCATCCGCACAGGCTCGCCCTACGCGGCCGAGGCATTGCGCGAGGCCAGCCATCGCGCCGCTGGCGCGGCGGGCGCCGCCGTCGCAGTCGCCACCGCTGCGGCAGTCCCCGCCACCGCTGCGGCCGATGCGGCCGCTGCGGCCGCCGCCGCCGCCGCCGCCGCCGCCGCCGCCGCCGCCGCCGTCGTCGTCGTCGTCGTCGTCGTCGTCGTCGTCGTCGTCGTCGTCGTCGTCGTCGTCGTCGTCGTCGTCGTCGTCGTCGTCGTCGTTGTCGTTGTCGTCGTCGTCGCCACGATGTTCGTGATTCTCGTCGTCGCCGCCATCCGCGTCGCCGTCGCCGACGACGATCAACGTCCCACGGTAGAGGTTTGTTTTGTTTTTTTTCTGGGTCTTGAGTCCAGGGGCGTTCTGGCGGGTTCGGTCGTTCGGTCGGTTTCCGTCGTTGTCGCTGGCGTTCAAGTTTCCTCCTCTTCCCTCTCCCTCCCCTTTCTCCGTCTTCCCCTCTAGTCGTTTTAGGCGACCCCCCAGGCCCGCTTGGCCCGCACAGTGGTATTTCCGTAGTTGTGCTTGTTGGCCCGAACGAAAAAACGGCGCCCGCCCCGCCGCGCGCGCGGCCGGCGGGCCCCCTCCTACCCTCAGGGCCAACCTAAACTTAGCGGACACATACCCACGTATTCTCACGGTGGGAAGAAGTACATCACGGATAAAGTCGAGTGAACCTGAGCAAAAGGCTTCAAACAATATGTAGAGGAACTACCGGTTAATATTCTCAGTCGCATGCCGATGTTATCCAAGGGCTGGCGACATACTGGTGATCAGCCGAAGGTTCCGTCCTCAACGAAAGTGGTCTTACCTGAAGGAGGAACGATGTTCCTGCCTTTCAAGGCTGATGAACATCCTGATCAAAGATCACGCGACCATGAGAAAAGTGCGGACTTTCTTGAATAATCCGGCTCGGTCGATGAAGACGTGGAGCCTGGCCTGCGCTTTTGCGGTCAAGTATATGAGAATTTCTCGCGCGCGGAAGAGCCCCGTCCAAGTGCGCCGATCCCCAAGAGCAAGGTCCTCTCTCAGCAAGGACATGAAGGAGAATAAGATGATGGCCACCTCCCGCTCGCCGACCGCACGGGCTCTTCCTCGCGCCCCTCCAGTGACGACCGCGGTGCAGATACAATATCGTATGTGGATAATTTCTGTCGTAGATCAACGCCTGCGCCGATTGGGGACCATGAGAGCTAGGGGCCGCGCGGCGGGGGGCACGGGGTACATGATCCCGCGTTTCCCGCCCCGCTGGGCGATCTACCACCACACGCGGCTGAGATGCTTCCCTTTCGCGCGGCAGTCTCATCAGACGGTTCTCTAGAACGACACTTGGAGGATATTCAGGGCGAGGTTTTCGCGGGCGACGATGTTCGACCAACAATCAAGCAGAGACGGGAACCAACCCGTCTTTATGCTGCCTCGCCCCATCGGGGAGCGAAGCAGGTTTGGCGATATCCTGGCTGTCTGACTTGTCAAGAAGATTGAGCATTTCGAGCACGCGAATCAATGCCAAGTGTGCTAATTTCGGCCCGAAGTGTGCTGAAGTGCCTGAATCGCGGTGCCCTGGTCTGTCTGGTCAGTGTAGGAAGCCTGTCTGCTGTGGATGCTCGAACAGCTGCGACCTGGGCAACCTTAACTTCCCCTGCCCGTCTTGCGCGGCTACCGCATCGCACAACTGCACTGGATTACAGGTCGATGAGCGTCGCGAAGCAGGGGAAAATTAGAGGGCCGAAATCATGGGGGCTCGGGGGCGAGATTTGGCTGAGATGCGTGAGCAATTGAGGCAATCGGAGATCCGACAACTGGGGACCGCTGCCCGACAGTTGGAACGGGGCCGGGAGGCGATGGCCAACGCCGCGCGCGTCCTGGAGGAGCGCCAGCAGGATTCAACGGCGGCGAAGATGCGAGGGTTAGCCAACAGGCTCGAGAACGCCGTCGCCCCTGAACGTCAGGCACACCTTCATGAGAAGAACTTGGCGGAAAAGGCGAAGCGCGCGGTCCGGGGGGCCGGCGAGTCTCGGCGAGCGACGATGACACAGGAAGCCGTGGAACCGCGGGCAGCTGAGAGCCGCGATGCGCAACTGGCGGCAGAAACCGCTGCTGCCCTGCATCGGGCCGAGTCGAACCGACTCGCCGCGGACGAGAGCTATGCCCGATCCGAGGCCGAGATGCTGCGTGCCCGCGAGGGAAGAATCTGTCGCAGCACAGACTCACGCGATGGAGATGGAGGCTGCCCAGTTGACGATGGAAAGGGAAGCAGAGCGCGATGCCTGACATCGCAAACTTGGCCAACATCAGATAAAGCGGCACCCAAAGGGGGCAGCTACGCCAGCAGTCGCGGGCGCGGGCTCCTCGGCCCAGGCGAGCGCAGCCACGGCGCCCGCTGCCCAGCCACCGGCGCCGACTGTTGTCGGGCGGCCGCCAGCGCAGGGGAACCTGGGGCAGCGCCCCCACGCGGGGGGTCCACGGTGTTCTGCGCGTGACAAAGTGGCGAATCACGATTGCCCCGAGTGCAAGAAATGCTTCGGCAACGATCACCGCACGAGGGATGATGAGACTCGCGCGCGCCGCCACGGGAAGAACTCCGCAGCCCAGACGAACGCGGGAGAGGAGAGGCTCCTAGAGAAAGCGCGCGAGGACAGACAGGCCAGAACAAATTCAGGAACGTGATGCCGCTGCATCAATGCCGGGGGCCCCCCCACGAGAATCTCGCCTCGGCTTCGTCGCGCTCGGGGCTGCGCCTCAGCGGCTGATGGAAGACTGGCCGATAACGCCGAATCTAAGAGGCTTCTCGAGCTTGAGGCGACGGCGAGGGCCGATAATGCGAATCTAAGGGAACGTCTTCAGCAGGTCATGCAGCGCGAAGAAGAAAAAGCCAGGATGCGCGCCGAACGAAAGGCGAAGATCCAGGAAACGCGCGAGGGGAGGGCCGAAGCTGTCGCCGACGTGGGAAATATTGAGTCGATGGCAGCCCGAGTCAATTAGGCCACGCTCTCTCCAGGATGCGCGCCGCCGCCGACGGGGGGCGCGCCTGGTGTATTCAAGAACAAAGACAAGGATGACGAGTTGACTCCTCCGCGGAAGGCGCCGGGGCTCGAGCGCCCAGGTTCGGGCCCTCCTGGCGGCGGCGGTGGCGGAGACGATGGCGATGGCGATGGCGACGACGATTTCAACGTTGAAGACGACGGATACTCAACGCTTTGTGGGGGAGGGGGAAGTGACCGAGATCGACGGCGTCGACGCGGCGGGGGGCCGCGTGGAGATGGTTCTCCTGGCGGAGGCGCCGGAGGTGGAGATGCCCCCCCTTTTTCCGGCGGTGGGCTATGTCCCCGACGCGGGCAAGACGGATGAGATCACGTTGGAGGCGGTCCCGGGCGCTGCTAACTACCATCGCTGGAGCCGCGACGTCGCCAGGACAGCGGCTTTCGCCCCTGAAATTTGCGACGGGGCCGTCGGCTGGATATCGAAAGCGTTCGACTTGAAGAACGCTGACGCCATGGAGCTGGAAGGCCCTTGCATCTTCATTTGGCTCGACAGCGATTGCAGCTGACTTCGCGTCTAAAGCCAACGGGATAATCGAGGGCCCGCAGGCTTCATTTCAATTGCGCCATCTAGCGAGCGAAATTGAGCGACTGGATATCGCGTCGCAGGCCACTTGGCGCATCGCGGGAGGTCGGGGGATTGCGCGCGTCATTTCTGCGCGCGTGACCACCTGGCAGGATCGCGACCAGGTGCGCGCGTGCACAGGTCTCTTGGAAATAAAGATCCGCGGATCTGGCAAGACAGCGAATGCCGACCTGTCCTCTTCTATGGCGAGTGGGTGCGGGTATTGAGTGAGATGGGGGAACTGGACTCTTCCTTTCGCCCGGCCACACAGGGGTACTTCTACCGCCAAATGCAGAAATGCCCTTGCATGCGTTGCACTCTTGTCATCTACGATCATAGCAGCGATGAATATGGGGTGGGTGTAAAGTCGCGCGAATGCCCCTGTCCAATGTCAGCGATTTCACGCGCGCAGGAAGGGGGCGCATCAATCGAGAGAGGCAGTTGAAGACGCTGAACGCGCGAGGTTTACCTGCGGGCGGCGACCAGGGGCGGGGGGCAGGAGAACGGGCCGGCAAGAGGAACCAGAGTCTGCGTGTGAAGGGCGGTCGCCCTAAGAAGTCGGCCACGTGTCACAAGTTTCTCTTAGTGCCCGTGCCCCTGGGTGCGGCGCCAACGTCTGCGCCCGGGGAGGGGCGGGGCCGCTCCGGCCCGAGCTGCGCCCGCCCAGTCGGGGAAGTGCAGTGAAAAGGGCGGCGGAAAGAAGAGGGGGGATCAGAACAAAGGGGGCGGCAAGGATAAGGGTGGCGACCGCGGCAGGAGCCGAGAGCGTCAGTCCGATCGTTCCATGGGCGGCGGCAAGGACTGCGACCGGTCGCATAAGTATAGTGCGTGGGCCTTTTGGGAGTGGTAGCCATTTTCCTGGCGACGCCCTGGATGCGCATGATCGGAGGCCCCCCGCGCCTTGTGGCCAGGCCGCGAAGCGCGGAGACTGCCAGACATGCGCGCTCGGGGCGTCGCCAGAGATGCACACTTCCCAAAAACCGCCAACGCACTGCATGGCATTGGAACATTGGAGCTTCAACGCCAGTTCATAAACATCAACGGCAACACCAGCGTCAACAGTATCACGTAAACACCAACACCATTGTCAGCATCATTCTCGCTCAGAAAACAAGGGCCAACATCTGCGCATCAAGTCCAGCAACATCGAATCGCCACGGGGGGGGGGGGGGGGGGCGCGCAGTGGGTGGTTGTTAGAGGGGGCTTCCAGCATTCCAGCGCGTTGCCACCGAAAACGTTCTCCCAATTTCATTGCATGAAAAAGAATCGGGTCGACGTTGGGCAGGGGGATATATCGCGCGCGGGGGTCCTAACCTACGCAATGATTGTTCTGCTGCTGTTCATTTGCATGGGCAGTCGGCCCAGCGACAAATTATTTGAAACGCCGAACGTGACCC